GTTAGCACATGCCTGTAGTTCCAGCTACTTGGAAGGCTGAGGCGGAAGGATCGCCGGAGCCCAGGAGGTCGAGGCTGCAGTGGCCAGGAGCGTGCCACTGCACTCCGGTCTGGGCGACAGGGTGATACTCCGACTCAAAAAAAAAAAAAAATTGAAAAAAATCTAAAGCATCTATCATAGTGTCTTACTTCACAGGGACTTCCACAATTAGTATTGGCTGTTTTATTGTTGTGGGTTTTATTAATATTATTGTGTTAACTACTATTATTATTGATAATGGAATCAGAATTAGCTAGATACAGAATAAGTTAAGGGATATAGACTAGGTGAGAAAGGACGTCAAAGCAGGAGAAATCTAATCAACTGGAAGAATAGGGAAGAATGTATTTTTAAATTTCTTTTAGTAAGGTAAAACATATAGTTCAGTATGCAGCTTTTTGAATTTTTAGTTACATGTAGACACATGTAACTAATTTCCATGTCCTCAGAAGCCTCCTTCATGCCCTTCCCAGTCAGTACTTCCTGCATCAGAGGTAAACCACTGTACCAACCTCTAATGCCATAGAATAAGTTTGTAAATAGAATTATATGGTATATGCCTCTTTTTTTTTTTCATGAGAAGTACCTTCTTTCACTCAATATTATATCTGTTGTTTGGGGTTTTTTTTTTTCCCATTGCTATGTAGTATTTCTTTGTGTAAACATGCTATAATGTATTTATTAATTCTACTGTTAATCGCCATTTGAATTGGTTCCAGATTTTGGCTATTTTGGGTAAAGTTGCTGTGAACACTCTTGTGCCTCTCTTTTGGTGGACATACTCGATTCTCTTGGGTATATCTAGGATTAGAATTTCTGCGTGTTTTAATATATAGACATTTAGCTTTCATAGGTAGTGTTAAATATAGTCTTCCAAAGAAGCTATGCCACTTTTTACTCTCACCTTTGTGAATAGAGTTCCAGTTGCTCCATATTCTCACCTGTACTTGAATGGTGTTAATCCTTTTATTTTAGCCATTATTATGGGGATGTAGGTTTATCTCATTGTAGGAGTGGAGAGGATAGTTGGAAGATAATAGTTTACTACCCCAAATCACTAACAAGCAAACTTGATGAAAAGTCATGCTGAAACTATTCTTCATTGTTGGTAGTGGTCAATAAATGTTATAGACTTCAAGATTTTGTGTATAAATATAACTTGTTTTACTAAAAGAGTGATTTAAAAGTAACATTGAATTCTCACACATGGCGAAAATGAATAAAAGCCTAAGAAGTGTTTTGTTGTTGTTGTTGTCATTGTTTTTTTTTAATTTCAATAGCTATAGGGAGTACAAGTAATTTTTTTTTGGTTACTAAGAAGTCTTTTGACAGAGCTCTTTGGCTTCTAATACATGTACTTTCATGACGGACTTTTTTTTTTTTTTTTTACATAAAAATTGTTTTGCACGTTTTTAGTAAACCACCTTCATCCAGTCTAAAGAAAGTATCCCTAGTGTGACATTTTATGCTTTGTTTTCTTTGGAATTACCCTTGGAAACTTAATGTGTAATAGGGCAGTGTTTTCATTTTAAAGCTTTGGAACATTTTTATTTGTTCTTTGCATTTTATGCTGATCACCTACTTGTTTACCCTTAGTAGGTAACATGCAGCTCATAGCATTTGACCAAACTTGAATGTTTTAGGAAACATTTTGCTTTTTATCTCTTTATAATTTTAAATAACTTAGAAGTTATCAGGCCAGCTTTTAAAATAGGCATTTTGTTTGCGAGTTTCAGGTATAGAGAATCATTTGAAATGGGATTCATTTATTGGGTCTGATAGGTAATATGTAATCTAGGTTTATGAGTTTCTTTTTCTAACGTTTGAAACTTTCTGAAAGACACATTTGCAAAATGTGCAGAAGTCAGTCTATTCTAACTTATGACTTTTAAAATTTGTTATTCTATTTTTAAAATAATATGTAAATGCTGGTATAATAAACTAGACATTTTTCTTTTCTTTTCTTTTCTTTTTTTGAGTCAGAGTCTCACTCTGTCACCCAGGCTAGAGTATAGAGGTGTGATCATGGTTCACTGCCCCTCGACTTCCTGGGCTCAGGCAATCCTCTCACCTCAGCCTTCTGAGTAGCTGAGGTTACAGGCATGAGCCACCATGCCCAGCTAATTTAATTGTTTTGTTCTGATGGGTCTTGCTATGTTGCCCAGGCTGGTCTTGAACTCCCAGGCTCAAGCAAACCTTTGTCTTGGCCTCCCAAAGTGTTGGAATTACAGGTGAGAACCACTGTACCCTGCCTTTCCCCCCCCTTAATCTAATTAGTGGATTAATCTGGATCCAACTGAAGTCAAGATAGCACTGGAGAAAATGAAGTCTGGTCCTGTGAGAATAAACGTTTGTTTTTTTTTTTTCATTTTCAATATATACTTGTAGAAAGTTTTTGTTTTCTTGCACATATATTAGAAGACCTTTGAAGTTATTTATGTTAGTTACTAATATTGAGAGTTATTTATTATGTTTATTACTCTTAATATTTTAGAATTTTTAAACTGAATTATCTTTTTGTTTTGCTTTACTAAAACTGAAGTTTCAGATTCCTCTTAAGTTTTTATAAAACTCCATGCTGCACTTATGAAACCGTTTTCTTTTTCTAGTATTGGGATGGAGAGGGAAAAAAAGATTACTTTTTTCATATTATATAAATAATTAAGTAAAATATCCAGCTATTATAATTCAAATACAGAATAAGTGATACCATTGATGTGCTAGAAATCATTTAAAAATGTTTCAGGCACTACTTAATGATTGTTAAGTGCTGCTTTTGAATAATTGTGCATGTTTCTAAATATAGGCTTTTTTGGACTTCAAACAAATTATTACAGGGAAGAGTTAATATTACGTGTCCTCAAAAGCAGAAAAATCTCTTTAAAATGTGTCCTGTTCCTTTTATACCTGTAACACAAATATCAGTATTCACATTTCTCTAGCTGTAACCATATAATATTAATTTTGTTAATTGCTTTTGGCGTAGTGCTATATTAATGTTATAGATTGCTAGGATATATGCATGTTTGTCCCATTGCACTCATGTATTTTAGATTCTTCTTTTCAGAATTTGTATAGTGATAGGCAATGATAATGATAAGAGTAAACATTCATTGAATTTATACTGTGTAAAAAATACTGTGCTAAGTGCTTTATATGCATCCTCATCAAACTCGTATGACAAGCACATTTTTAGATTTTTAACAAAATTTATTTCCCCAGTCTTTTTATCTCTGCTTTATAGTTTGTCAAGTGGTGTGAAAAGTATGTTGGGTTTATCATGTCAGTTAAAATTCTGTTAGAAACCAGCTCGCTAGATAAAAGCCCTATAAGGGCTGAATTCATGCACAGTGCTCTAAGAGCATGGAAAAAAGCTGTTTCACTTGATCTTGGTGGGCCAGGGAAAGACTTCTCTAAGCCTTAATTCTAAAGGATTTTACTGTGTATATGCTTCCTACACAACATATATCAAATATAATGTATATTTAAAATTGAATGATTTATATATTAACTTTTTAACATTAGTAACTATATATGTTCAAAAGTAGTAATACTGAGATGTTGACAATGTGTTTTCAAAGGTTTTGAAAGAGGGAAGGAAGATATTTCTCAAAATAAAGATGAATCTGCACTTTCTATGTCAAAGAGCAAGGTAAGCATAATGTCCCAAATATGACATTTTTTCTGATATTTAAGATGAAAAAACTAACACTGAACTCCTATCACGCTTCTATGGGATGTTTTCATGTTGATATGTCTAAACTGTGTGCTACGTATGTACAAAGTGGAGCTCCACTGGGGCTGATGTAAGTATCATTGGCTACTTGGAAATGGGCCTGTTGGTCACCAGTGTTCTCTCCAGAGCAATACTGTTTCTGTCTGCTGTAACAGTACTTCTCAAACTGGCATCTGAGGGCTTCATTCAGATCTATTCTCAGGGTTCATGGTTTTAAAAAAAAGTTCTTAAGTGTTTTGGGTTCATTCAGATGACAATAAAAATATATAAATTTTACCAGTTAAAGGCCAGATCTCTGAGGCCTACAACTGAAATACATTTTCTTAAAATAAGACATAGTTTTCTAAGTCAGCATTTCTCAAACTGGAATTCTTAGGTCTGTGGAGCATTTCTTCTTTAAGAGTACACATTCAAATTTGAGAAACCCTGTTTATGCAGCGGTTTCCCTACAGGTTTGTAGCTTACTAGATTTTCTATAATTTGTCAAGGAATTTTACTTTTGACTATTCTATTGGAAACAAGATGGAGCTTTTATATTTGTGGAGTCAGACTTAAATGACCATAAGAAAACCAATTTCTTCAGCCAGTAAATTATCTGCTATTCTCAGCAGTAGTCCTTGCTCTTACAATGCTACATTTTTTGCTCTTGTTCTTGTGAGTGGTTGAAAGGACTGCACGATGTTTTTATGTATGGTTTTACACAGATATTGTTCACACTTATCTTTTCAAGTATTCATTACATGAAGGTCCATCTATCATGTGTACTTAGTATAGAAGTTTAATAATACTTTGTATTTATATAACATATACATGAAAAATGCCTTGTTTACATAGGAGGAAGAAGATTTCTTTTTCCTTTGCAAGGTTTATGACTGAGATCCCTATCATAAAAGACAGATTAGCAAGAGAAAAGCATACACATTTATTTAATATAAACTCTATGTGACATGGGAGCTTTCAGAAATGAAGATCCAAAGAAACGGAAATTTATGCTTTGGTTTGATAAAGAGTTGACAGTTGTATAGAAAAGCATGATTGAACAAAGGGAGAAAGTAAAATCTGGTACTAATAAACTGGGGGGACTTAGAAGGTCTATTTGTTCAAATTCTTCTGGGCATCTCTCTGCTTTCAGATCCTTTCTTCCAAGTGTAGGTAAAGCCCCTGTTTCAGTTGAAGGTTAGAGTATGCTTCTGTGGCCCACTTTAGGGGAGGAAGGCAGGAGGTCAGAGAGTAACCTTCCTGCTTCTGAAGTTTTCTTAGTTTTCTTCAGCTTAAAAATACTCAGTATGCCAATGTGTCATATTTTGGGGTAGCAAGTTTTAAGCTCTGTCAGTCATTTTACATGATCTGTGTAATTAATGAAAATAGGAAATACTTTCTCTTGGGTCTGCCATAGCTAGAAATACAGTGAGATTTATGGAATTTTAAAAACTTATTTTTCAAGCAATGAAAACCAGATTTGGTAAATGTATGGTATGATGGTATTTCTACTCAGAAGCCTAAACACTTAAACACAAAGACCTGCATACCACAGCTACCTGTAGGCCTGAAAAGGAACTTTGTATACCTTAATACAGCAGTGTGTGCTAATGACTCACACCTGTAATCCTACCACTTTAGAAGGCTGAGGCTGAAGGATTGCTTGAGCCCAGAAGTTTGAGATCACCTTAGGCAACTTAGCCAGACCTGTCTTCACAAAATAAAAAATAAAAATAAAAATAAATTATTTGGGCATCAAGACATGCGCCTGTAGTCCCAGTTACTACGGATGCTGAGGTGGAAGGATTACCTGAGCCCAAGAAGTCAAGTCTGTGGTGAGCCCTGATTGTGCCACTGCACTCCCGCCTGGGCAACAGAATGAGACCCTGACTCAATAAATAAATAAATAGGGAAAAAAATATGAATCCATATATGACTAGGTGCTATGGTTTGTGTATAATAGCATCTATTCATATGTGGATCTTTAAATTAATTAAAATAAAATAAAATTAGAAATCCAGCTCTTCAGTTACACTAGCCACGTCTTAAATGCTCAGTAAGCTCAACTATAGAACATCTGTCACTTAGAAAGTTCTACTTAGGAGCACTGCTTTATAGTCAAAAGAGTGAGCTTGAATCTTGACTCTCATCTATTACTTAGGATTTTCTAGATGCTAATTACAATGTTTTTTTGGTCGTTGTTGTTTTTTTGAGTCGGAGTCTCACTCTGTTGCCCAGGCTGGAGTGCAATGGCACACTCATGGCCATCACAGCCTTGATCTGCTGGACTCAGGCGATCCCTCCGCCTCAGCCTTCCAAGTAGCTGGAACTACAGGCACGTGAAACTTACTTCAGGCCTGACCTATTTTTTGATTTATTGTAGAGACGACGTCTTACCAGGTTTCCCAGGCTGGTCTGGAACCCCTCACCTCAGCCTCCCAAAGTGCTGGGATTTCAGGCTTGAGCCACCACACCCAGCCTACAATGATATTAATAGTTACTTTGTTTTTAAGAGACAGGGTCTCACCATGTTGCCTAGGCCGGATTGAAACTTTTGGCCTCACTGGGACTATACGCATGCCACCATGCCCAGATTAATAGAATTAAAATGAATGAGTAGGATCCTTAACATAGTAATTATTTGGTATAAATAAAATTATACCCATTGTGTTATTTTCCAAGAACTGAAACTTACTGATTCTCTTACAACACATAAATTTAATCTTGGTTTATTCTATTAGTTTAGGAAATATATAGTTGCTAGTTTGTCCCTAAGTATTTTAACATAGAACCCACTCTGTTGTCCTTCAAAATAAGTTTTTAAAATTCTGTAAATCTCACTGTATTTCTAGCTGTGGCAGACCCAAGAGAAAGTATTTTCTATTTTCATTAATTACACATATCATATCAAATGACTGACAGAGCTCAAAATTTGCTACCCCAAAATATGACACTTTGGCATACTGAATATTTTAAGCTGAAGAAAACTAAGAAAACTTCAGAGGCAGAAAGGTTACTCTCTGGCCTTCTCCTGCCTTCCTTCCTTTCTCCCCCCTTCCTCATTTAACCTCATTCTCTTAAAATTCTGAAGATTTTGTTCTTACCTAAGTAAAATTTTGGAGAACAAAATTTTATTGTTCCTTCTATGATTGATCTGTATAACTAAGCCTGTCAAACAATTTTAACTTTATACTTTTATGAACTTGATGTAAAAAGTATCAATGTTATCATTTTGGTCATAGGATTTGAGATTAAGTGTTGTTTTTTAAAATGCAAATTGAGACCAGTAAACACAATGGAATGTACCCTTCTCATACCCAAAGCATTTTTTTTTTTTTTAATAGACAATTCCTGTTTCTCATGCGTCTCTTCCTAGGCATTTTCATTGTGAATGAGTGAATTGGAAGTCAGTTGGTCAGATTATCCCAAACAAAATAGCATTTTTAAATGAGTTTTTAATTGTCTTTATCAACAAAAGGAATTACAGCATAAGTAATGCATCTAGTGGGATAAAAGGAATCCTATTACAAGAATACGGGGATTCTGAGGTCAGATTTCTTCAACCATCTATCTACTTGCCTTGTAGGTTTGCTAAGTTATCTGCTATATATTCTTGAATATATTTATTTCTTCAGATATTTAAAAAACATTTCTAAACCAAAATATCTGATGTAGTCCCAGTAACTTATTGTTACCTTTAATCTGTTGGTCTTAAGTTTCCTCATTAGTAAAAGGGTTATCACTATCTTATCACTCGCTCATAAGGTTTCTTTGAGTATTTAGCATAGTACAGTTGATCCTTAAACAAACAGTTGAAAATCATTATATAACTTTTGACTTTCCAAAAAATTTTTAAATGCTAAGAGCCTAATATTCATCAGAAACCTTACCAATAACAGTTGATTAACACATATTTTGTATGTTATGTGTATTGTATACTGCCTTCTCACAATAAAGTAAGCTAAAGAAAAGAAAATATTATTAAAAATACATAAGGAAGAGAAAATATGTGTACTATCCACTGAGTAGAAATGGATCATGAGAAATATCTTTATCTTTGTTGTCTTCACATTGGGTGGGCTGAAGAGGAAGAGGAAAGGGTTGTCTAGCTGTTGCAGAGGGGGCAAAGGTGGAGGAAGTAGAAAGGGAGGCAAGAAAGGCAGGCATACTTGGTGTAGCTTTCATAGAAAAAAATCTGGACACACAGTTCAAACCATGTTGTTCCAATCAGCTGTACTTGGTAAATAGTAAATAGCTATTCGCTTTTCTTAACTTTTAAGCTAATACTATTCGTATTTTTAAATTGAAAGTATCTAAGAAGTACAATGTTATACACATTATCCTATTAAGTTGTGGGAAATAAAATCTCCTGATAATTTTAAACCGTCATATTCCTCCAACAGTAGCCATGGCATCTTTGTGTTCCCAGGATAAATGAGAAGGCAGAGACATGCTTGCCTTGAGGAATTTTGTGAAATTGTTTTAGTATCACAATATATTCAGTCATCATGGATGTAAGCAATGTGATGCTTCAAGCCCAGCTGTTAAAAGAGTACCTTTAACAAAAGTTTTACTAAGTTTATTCCCCATCTCTACTTTGAGAATCGTTTGCATTTCCCTTCTGGGTCAGCCAGTTAGTACCATCACCATAATAGCCCGTATTTCATACCAAGTGTAGCAGAGGCATTTGTAGGAGAGATGAGAGAAATGAGCTGCAAGTGCCAATTTATTTTCATAGTATCAGTTCATCAGATATTTATTGAGCCCTTCCTTTTCTTCAGGTGATCTACTGGGTTATCATTGACAAACAAACCTGTTATCTGCTCTCATGAATCTAAAAATTGAGTGAGCGAATCTGTCAGGTTTTTATCCTTGATCATATCTAATGATATTATTGCAGATATGGCCGCTCAACATTTGAAAGCCACCATTTGGATTAAGTATATGTTCTTGGCACTAGGAGTAGTGCTAAGAAATTTAAGTACTTTCTCCTGTGTCTCACAATTGGTAAAAATAAAAATCAGAAGACATTAAAAGAATATATTTAATTTTATTGTTCCAAGATCAATAGAAATGGCTTTAGTCGTGTGCTTTTTAACTCTGGTGAAGCGTTGTGGTCTCTTTAAACAAGCTCTGAATTAGGAGACTGAGATTCTGATCTTTGCTATGTTAATGATTGTTAGTTTGGAAAATCAAACTTTTTTGAGCCTTCCTTTCATGATTTGTAAAATGGAGATAAAACTGCTTGTTGTGCCTATTTCACAAGCTTCTTGTGAAAATCAAATAAAAATATGACGTATAAGCCAAAAGTCCAGAAACAGATTTAAGATATTAATAGGTTAAGAAAAAGGAGATCCTGGGGATATTAGTGTTTACATGCTATATAAGCTAGACAGAAAGAATGGTTTACTGCTAGTTTCTTAAGATGTTTGTGTTTCTTCCTATTGAAAGAGGAGTAGCAACAGGACAATGTGTGCACCAACTTGTTAGAATTTACATCATTTAGTTTTTTATTTAGAATATTTCAACTGTTAAAAAATAATATTGCCTTTGACTACTTTTGTCCTAAGAATAAATAATTGTAGTGTTCTTAGAAATACTATGAAAAATAGAATGTAAAAATCTACAAATGATCTTATTTAACTTCACATTGTGTATTAATTTATTGATTAGTTTTAACTTTTTTGTATTTGTGGGTTTTACATGGATTCATTTTAAACACAAATATTGTACAGGAAAAATGTCTTTTTTTTTTTGAGTCGGAGTCTCACTCTGTCGCCCAGACTGGAGTGCAGTGGCTGCTCCCTGCCACCGCAGCCTCGACCTGCTGGGCTCCGGCGATCCTTCCGCCTCAGCCTTCCAAGAGTAGCTGGAATTACAGGCCTGCGCTACCATGCCCGGCTGATTTTTTGATTTATTGTAGAGATGAAAAATGTCTTTTGAAAATGAACATTTGCTTAAAATCACTGCAATAAATGGGAAGAATGTCACAAACATAGCTTTAACATTAATTTGTATATAATGTGTAGAATAAATGAAGGCTTTAATTCTTTCTGTTTTGTTTATTTCTATATGATTTCAGTCTGAATCTAAACTTTATAATGGGTCGGAGAAGGATAGTTCAACTTCAAGCAAGCTCACAAAAAAAGAATCTCTTAAGGTTGGTTTTCATGGTTATTTCTGGAAAGTAACTTATATTGTGCTTTGCATGTGCTTTTGGAAGCAAGCTGATAAGATAAAAATATATATATGTGTGTTCCTAAAGAAAGAAAAAAATATGTAGAGACAGGCACACATAGAAAATGTTAATATTTGTATGGTACACTGTGGTCAGGCTGATAAGACTGCTTGATGACTGTCCTAGAGCAGACTGCTTCAGGCCTCACCTGGCCAGCAGCTGAGGATTTGCTGTGTCAACACAGCTATATCCAGGCCAGGCTTATCAGTGCATTGTGGAACACCTGATGGGAAACTCTGGTTCCCATTAAAAGTGGAGTTTGCTGACTGCTGGGTCATGAGCTAAATTTGGCCCACAGGTAGACATATTTTGTTCAACTTGCATGTTTTGAAAATTTGAGCCAGCAATTAAAAGTCCAGATTTCCAGTTTCTCTTAGAAATATGTGGTGTTGGGCTAGACTTCCTGAATGGCCACCAAACCTGGAGCTTAAGAAACACATGCTTTCCAACTGGTGGGGATCCCTGTCTGATCTGCTTTACCCATCTGTGTTTCATGCCTGGTCTTGTATACATTTGCATTTGCAATCCCATATTAAATCTGTTCATTGAGATATATTAATAAAGATCAAAAGTCTAAAGTATTTAGGGTGTAGAATTATTAAAACTTTATTATGTGTAAGTAGTCTGCTTACCATTAAATGCAACTTTTCTGGTGAAAGATTTTGTTATAGTTGTTTAAAAATAAGTCACTAGAGGTTATCATCACTCCTTCCTCATCCAAATAATAACCACAGAACAGTAATAAGACTGCATTAATCTATTTCTGCTTCCCCAAATTATCTCAGAAGTAACTTAATTACAAAGGTAAAACTTTGATATTTTGAATGAATTAATTTCACTGTCATGGTTTCTTTACTATTTCTATCTTACATATTAGTATCAGGAAAGAGAATAAAACTTCCAGTTGCCAACAACTGCAGCATTGTTTGTAATGTAAAAAAACTGGAAACAGAAAAGATTTATATCAGTAAAGAAGGTATTAAGAAATATTACAGAAGCAGTATAGGCTAATGGTTAAGAGCATAGCTTTTGAAGCTTTCTGCCTTTCTGTTTGAATCCTGACTCCATAATTTACTGTATTATCCTGGGCAAGTTACTCTGTGTGCCTCAATTTTCTCATCTGTAAAATAAAGATAATAGTTCTACTTCACAAGGTTATTGTGAGGATTAAATGAGGTAATGATAATACAAGTAGTGCTTAGAACAGTGGTTGGCATAGAAAATGTGCTCAGTGTTAGCTCTTTTATTATTTATTCACTATGGGAATCCTGTGTAACAGTTAAAAGGCTGAGGTAGACATGGAAACTCATCCAAAAATATTAAATAGGAGTCCTTTTTTTTTTTATGTTGCTAAATCTACATGTTTCTATAGGTTGTTTACATACAAAAAGTCTGAAAGGATAGTGTTTTTTATAAGGTTAACAGTGTTCAATTTTGAGGATTAGAATAGGTTGGGGTATAATAAAAATAGCTTTTAACTTTGTGTTTGTTTGTTGTCCATTTTTTCATGAGATTGTATTCATGTATTGTGTAATTAAAAAGAGGTAAGCTTTTTAAGAGGGTACAGAAAACTGGACTCCTCAGGATCTGTAAAACTAGATCCTAAACTTGGTTGTCTAAAACTTCCTCCAACTCTAAAACAAACCAAAAAACTATAGTTATTTTCATCCTAAAAGCATAGAATTCTAAAGAGGTTTGGGATTCTGTACTTTACATTCTATAGACCTAAAAAAAATTGCTCATTTTTATTAAATTTTTTTATTTTTCTATTATTTCTATAAAATATTAGGTGCAAAAGAAAAATTATCGAGAAGAAAAGAAAAGAGCCACAAAGGAGTTGCTCAGTACAATCACAGATCCTTCTGTTATTGTTATGGCTGATTGGTTGAAGGTCAGTGTGTGTTGAGTCTTGAATTCTAGTTGCTGGATGTTTACCTATTGGAATGGGAAATCCCAGAGTGTACTTACAGCCTACAAGACACAAATAGCTCTTGGGATGATTGTTTTTCACTGGTGAAGACACTATTAACTATATCCCAGAGGTTCTCTATTCCAGTCTTAATGGAGAGAAGGAACCTTAATGTCTCTCTTAACAATAACAGTATGTACTGGGTGACTTCAGACTCCCCCTTTCTAAATTTGTCTTGTTTAGAGTTACTATTGTATGCCTGTTTTGGGAGTTAGGGAGTCCTGTATTTATTTCATACTTCATGTAGGTGCATTGAAGGAACAGATGTTTTACATTAAATAAAAGTGAGAGTAATTCCTATTTTTGATCTAAATATTAACATCCTTTTAGTATTTTGAATTCCATGAGTTGCATGCAAGCTGTTTTAATAGATTATGGAAATAGAAATTGACAGAAAAAACTTGTTTTAGACTTATTATTGACATAGCATTAAACCCTAAGATGAGAAACATTTTATGAGAATAGAGATTCATATAACTTGTGTTTTTTAATTTTCTCCAAGAAATTTATATACCACATTTTATGTAATTACTAAGAACAAAGTAATTTAGAGAAGATAATTTTAGGGGTTAGGAGGAGGTTCTTTTTTCTTCCTACCACTCACTAAATATTTAGGGAATGCCTGGTATGTGCCAGAAGTGGTTTCAGTTCTGTTGATGTAGTGGGGAAGAAAATTTTTAAAGGCAGAATAATCATATACTAACACAATTAAAATTATAGCTATGATAAATTTTACAAAAAGAAGAGTCATAATACTAGGAAAGTGTATTTTAATGACCTGTAACCTGGTCAGGAAGTTTAGGAAAACTATTCTACCTAGTACATTATTTTGAAATTATTGGCCTAATCTCTCAATAAAATTTAATTTCTTTAGAAGGAGGAGCCATGTCATTTTCATGTCTATTTGCAGTACTAGCTTAAAAAAAACGATTAATCTAAAGCGTACATGTTATGGAAATTTTAGATTAAGCCATCCTGTTTGCAGTTTTTGTTTGTTTGTATTTTGTAGAACAGAAAGAGAAGAACAGATCTTTATTTTTAAAATAAATTTATCTTTCTGTAGATTCGTGGTACTCTAAAGAGCTGGACCAAGTTGTGGTGTGTGTTGAAACCTGGGGTGCTACTGATCTATAAAACCCAAAAAAATGGTCAATGGGTAGGAACAGTTCTTCTGAATGCCTGTGAAATCATTGAGCGTCCATCAAAAAAGGATGGCTTTTGTTTCAAACTTTTTCATCCTTTGGAGCAGTCTATTTGGGCAGTGAAGGTACGTAAGCACTTGTTATACAGGTAAAAGGTAAAGGTGACAGTCTATGAGTAGAGCTGAGATAAATCAATCAAATGATTTTCATCCTCTGCTAAGACTTACAAATTTGCTCTGCTTTCTTTTTTTTTTCTTTTTTTTTTTGAGTTGAAGTCTCACTCTGTCGCCCAGACTGGAGTGCAGTGGCCGCTCCTGGCCACTGCAGCCTCTACCTGCTGGGCTCTAGCGATCCTTCCGCCTCAGCCTTCCAAGTAGCCAGAATTACAGGCATGCGCCACCACCCCCGGCTGATTTTTTTGATTTATTGTAGAGATGAGGTCTCGCTGCCCAAGCGAGTCTCAAACCCGCGGGCTCAGACAATCCACTCACCTCAGCCTTCCAAAGGTGCGGGATTACAGGCTGAGCCACCGAGCCCGGCTTTGCTTTGCTTTCAAGTGCATTATTCCCCATTCTATCTGTACCCATAACAAAATGTGTACCAAAAGACTTTACTTGCCTTTAAGATCTAACTTTAAAAATTTCTCCAGAAAATATTTTTCAAATTTATATTACATCTTAGTGTCTCTTTTGTCCTTGGGAATTCAGTTTGTACTGTTTTTTTTCCATTTGTAATTACTAACTCTTCTTTGTTACATTGTATTATGTTTACCATGTTTTTTTTCTCTTTATACAATTGGTAAGATTCCCAAGAACAGAAACTGCTATTTGTTTTTGTGGTCTTTCCTGTAGTGACACTAAATGTATAATGGGAAGCCTAAAAGCAGAGGCAGCCTTACTCCTAAGAGAGACAGATTTCTTTAAAGCCAGAGCAAAAAAAAAAAAAAAAAGCATTATTGTGGTCATTCCTGTTCTATATTAAGTAGAAATAAACAGGGAAATAGAAATGCTGTATCTCACTCACCACCAAGGAATCCTAGAAACAGTAAATATGCAGCACATACTACTCTTCAAATTATAAGAATCATAATGAATTTTTAAATCACTAAAAATATTTTTTGTTAAATTTATTTAACTCTAAATAGTGGAGGAAGAGAGGGACATTTGTACAATTATGTAAATATTGGTATATTCCCTAAAAGCAAAACCTACTTAGAACATTGTTTAAACATTTTTGAAAGCAAGTGTTTATGAATAAGAAATGGTAACAGCCAAGTGCAGTGGCTTACACCAGTAACCCCGAACTTTGGGAGGCCAAGGCGGAGGATTGCTTAAGCCCAAGAGTTTGAGACTAACCTGGGCAACATTGCAAGACCTCACCTCTACAAAAAAGTAAAAAATTAGCCAGGCATCGTGGCATGCCTGTTCTCAGCTCACAAGGCTAAGGTGGAAGGATGGCCTGAGCCCAGGAAGTTGAGGTTGTGCAGAGCCATAATTGTGCCACTGCAGTCCTTTCTGGGTAAAAGAGTGAGACCCAGACTCAAAAGAAAAAGAAAAGAAGTGTTAACAGTTATGGTTATGAGTTGTTTGTATTGGGTATTCTCTTTTGAGTATTGTACATGGAATCTTTTATTTAATTCTCATACCTCTTCTTATATAGATAAAGAGATTGAAGCCTTAAGAGGTTACTTAAGTAATTTTTTGGCAGGGAGCCAAGATTGTAACCCAGGCAGTCTGCCTCTACATCCTACTCTATACTAAGAACTGGCCCATGACTTATAAAGCTATTTGAGAATGCCTAGAATATTATAGTAGTTGTTAAAGTCATATTGATTTTTTTCTACTTTTCATTTTAAATCTGTTTTTTTTCGTATAACATGCATGATTCTTGAAATTCGTTTTGTTCTTTGACTTAAATAACTCTTTCCAAACAACTTAAAAATTATGCTTTTGCATCAAAATTATACTGCAAATTCAATGTTTAGTTTTCTTTCTAGATAAGAACTGTGTCTACCAAAGTTTAGCATAGGTGATACTAATCACTGTGGTGTTGTATACTTCTGAAACAAATAACCCTAGCCAACAACAACAACAGTAAAAAAAAAAAAAAAAAAAAAGTTCCTGTTTCTGGAAAAATAAAGTTAGCTTCTATAGTTGGTCTTTAAAAACAAGTATATATCATTTGTTATAAAAATAGAGATTTATTTTTCCCTAGACCCAGTTAAAATTTATTTCTCATTTTATTTTGAGTTATAATTCTATCCATCTATGCTTTCTTTAGAATTCTAGAAATTTATTATTTCTTATCCAGTAGTATCTGTGGGATGGATTTAATTCTCATACCTGTTAAATTAAAATCTGGTTTATAAATATTTCTTGATATTTAACATTTGCATTCTCAAGGAGGGTGACATTAAAGCTTGTTTGCTTTTAAATTATAATCCACACATGATTTAGGTTATTACAGATAATAATGGATAATATAAAGTTGAGATCTCCATAATACTTAGTTTGTACCACTTATTTTATTTTGTTATTAAGGGGCCGAAAGGTGAAGCAGTTGGATCCATAACTCAGCCCTTACCTAGCAGTTATTTGATCATCCGTGCTACTTCAGAGTCAGATGGTAAATACAGTTTTTGATGGATTGAGTTTTGGTCTTCATTTTTAAGGGTTTATTTTATGTGTATTATCTTTGGGAAATCTGTTTTTAGTATGGCATTTGCAGCAGAGTATTGTAAATATAAATTGCTTTGAACACTAAATCTATTATTAACTCAGTCCACAATTAGAGAAAGCTGATAGGAAGGCAGCACTGTATGACTGAGAGATTAGTTGGCAGCTCAGAGTTTTCTTTTTCATGTCCACTGATATATTGACACCATTTTTATTTTGTGATAACTCATTAAGTTTTATCATTTTAGAGATACATTAATACTGTTTATACCTTATTATTAAATGTCAGCATTTAAGAGGCATATACACTGTTTGAGGATTTCTTTTTTATATAAGAAAACATTCAAATGCAAACTTTTTTTCTTCCACACTTAATACTTAATTTATGCAGCTAATATATGGGGAGAGCAAAACCTTAATAATTGATAGTGGATTTTTTCCACACTTTCTTATTTCATAGTTTAGGCAAGCCTGGTGTAGGGAAACTTGTAACATTCAAGTTTGCTTTTACCCAGTAATTTTTTAAAAAATTAAAATATAGGCATAAGCTTTTGGTATGAAAATGCTTTATGGCTAATATTCCCAACAGATATTGAAACAAATACAGAAGAATTTTAAAAGCACTGAGCAAATAAAAGTGGAAACTTTTTTGCTAATACAGTTCTAAATTTTAACTTACAAATAAAACTGTTAATGTTTCTTTTAAATAACATGGCAGTTAATGATAGCATTATAGTCATTTCCCTGACTTAAGCATTTTTATGCATATAAGTCAAATGAATGCTAAACCTGGGAATAGTCTTTCTATAAACAACAAAACTACTTCAGATAGTTTGTTTATAGTAGAACCATAACCTCTCCAGTATATTTTGCTTACCTTGCTTGATACCTTCAAATTATGCTGCGTGTCAGTGTTCTAAGGTTTGAAAAATAAAGTATGCTTATTTTAGATTGGGTATACTTTCTAATGCATGCTGCATACTATTCATTTATTAATAATTTCTAGATGCTTAGTATGTTAAAGGCATTTGTAAAACTGAAAAATTGCATTAAGAAATCCTACCAAGATTTTATGTTCAGATTAACTTTTGCAGTGCACGTTCACAAAGAAATAATAGTATGTTTAGAGGTAACAGGGCAAAATGAAGATGCATGCTAGTTTCATAGTTTTTAAAACTATACTGTTATGAATCTGCTCTTCTAGGAAGGTGCTGGATGGATGCTTTGGAGTTGGCTTTGAAATGTTCTAGTCTTCTCAAACGTACAATGATTAGAGAAGGAAAGGACCACGACCTGAGCATCTCATCAGATAGCACACATGTGACTTTGTATGGCTTATTACGTGCTAACAATCTCCACAGTGGTGACAACTTCCAGTAAGTAGATCTTGCCACTAATGGTAATGATTTGGTAATGATTTCAGAGACCAGGTTGGCAGGCCTAGAATTTTAGTTGTGTATCTAGGATTAAAATTTGTGGTTCTTCTTCCCATTATATGGCCAAAAGCTTGTCTTAAAACTTGTTTAGCTGCTATGATCAGGTATAGAAATTCATTCCCTTGATTTCAGCCAATATGATTTACTTTATTTTTTCCAAATACAGCCATGCTAATGATCTACCTTGTCTTTATACCCGGTGTTCCTTTCATTAAGAATGACCTCTACTCCTTGCTTTTTTTTTCTTTTAATTTTTTTTATTTTAAAGATGTTGGGTACAATTCGGGGTTAGGTATACAAATGTTCATTATGCAGGTACCATTGTGTGCTTTTTTTCTCCTGTCATAATCTTAGTATGTTCTTCAAGATCAGTCTTAACTGTTATATGTGAAGTCTTTCCTGCCTTATAACCATGAGATTTACTTTGTCTTTCTGTTGTTATAAAATAACACTCTTTTCTAGTGTCACTGTACTTACTCTGTCTGGCATTTGTGTAATTCTCTTAAATTATGTTTGGAGTTAGAACTGTATCATCCTATTTGTGGTTTTATTCCCGGAAGCATTCATTGTAATTCACACTAAAAAATATTCCTTCAGGGAAACTGGGTAACAGTGTAGAGACTTTGTTGAGGTTCAGTTCTCTTTTGTTGCTTTGTAGGAAAAAACATGAGACTTTCCTGTTTCCTCCTTTCTCCCACTCTTCAGCTCTGCAGCCACTTACTCCCATTGGCACCAAGGTGGCTCTTCTCGTGGTTAGACTGCTGCAAACATTTATCTATGTAGTCTGATCCAAACATTTTTTCCCCTACCCTTTGGCTTGTTATTTTTAATTTTTCTAGAGACAGGATCTCACTCTGTCACCTAGGCTGGAGTACAGTGGTGCAGTCATAACTCCCTGCAACCTCAAACTCCTGGACTCAAGTGACCCACTTCCTTCAGCTTCCCCAGTAGCTAGGACTATAGGTAGGCGCCATCACAGCTAGCTAATTTTTTATATTTATTTTATTGCAGAGTCTATGTCTTACTATGCTGCCCAGGTGTTTTTGGTCTCATTAAAACTTCATTACTTGACCTTTTACATTTCTCCTTTGCAGACCTAGAATCTGGAGCTTTATCTTAATCCCCAGTACCTGGAGTATGAATGGGATAGGATGAAGTGGGGTGGGCAGCTGATACAGAAATGGGTATTTGTTGGGACCTCTTCCCAAGACTCACCCCTTTTGTATAAATTATTTACTCTAATCACTTTTTGTGAGAATAGGGTAGTTATAGCAGAACTTACTGATTTTAGCCTATAGATTCATTTCCTTATGCTGAAATTTCCATTTCAATTCTCCCTGAATTTTTTTTTCAAGATTAATCCTTTCAGACAAATATTAAATAGACTTCAGTACAAGTACTTACCTTTTACATTTTCTTACTATTGGACTTATTTGTTGTGACTTTGGAAACTTTTTTTTTTTAATTGGAGTTTCACTTTGTCGCCCAGGCTGGAGTTCAGTGGCACACTCACAGCCACCCCAGAGTCAATCTGCTGGGCTTAGGCGATCCTTCCGCTTCAGCTTTCCAAGTAGCCAGACCTACAGGTGCATGCTACCTGCTTTGGAATCTTTTATGGGTGGAAAAATCATAATTCATTTTAGTACATTTGAGAATCTCATGATTTTGAATTGAATTTTTTCTGAAATTAAAAAAACTCAATTTCAAGAATTGAGGTTAAGTCAGGTGATGTTTGCAAAAGTAAGACAAACAAATCTCTCAAGAAGTAGTATAAAATTTTGCTTTTGGAAGATTTTAGCCTGAAGTGGTAGAGAGGCAGAGAGCTCAGAGTGTCATCTTTTAACATTTCTCCAGATCTTTATTTAACTTCTCTGTGTCTCTGTTTGCTAATCTATAAAATGTGAATAAAATATTACCTATTTCATAGTTATTTGGAAGTTTAAATGAATTAAAACTGTATTTTTAAAAAAACTTTGAAAAGTGCCCAGCACACAGTAAATTCTCAATAAATGTCATATATCATCATTATTTATAAGCTAAGTATTTTTAAAAATTTATTTATTTATTATAAAGATATGGGGTACAATTCAGGGTTAGGTATACAAACATTGATCATGCAGGTATCCTTAAGTTAAGTATTTTAATCTCCTTCTTTCTTCCTCCTAATAATGCTTTTCCCTTAAGGTTAAATGATAGTGAAATTGAACGACAGCATTTTAAGGACCAAGATATGTATTCTGATAAATCTGATAAAGAAAACGATCAAGAACATGATGAGTCTGACAATGAGGTGATGGGGAAAAGTGAGGAAAGTGACACAGATACATCAGAAAGGCAAGATGACTCATATATCGAACCTGAACCTGTGGAGCCTTTAAAGGAGACTACCTACACTGAACAGAGCCATGAGGAACTTGGAGAGGTAAAAGTGTGTTATTTTTAGAGATTCTGGGTTTCTAATTCTTGGGAATTTTCAAATAAAATTGAAGATATTATTTGCCTGACCTACTGTTTATTTTCCTGAGAGAAAATATTTATATGTTACCAATTTTATTTTAAAAGTTGCAAACATATGAAGTGTATCACGACTTATAAACAACTAAACACATATACTTACACAAATACTAGGATTTTTTATTAAATTTAAAGCTTACATTTCTTCAAGTTTGCTTTTGATAGAGGATATTTCTTGGTGTCATTGCCATGTGCAAAGTAAGTTACAAGGAAAAATGAGTTTATAACTTTTTTATTGCCAGTGCATAGAAGTAAATATATGAGGGGGACCCCCCAAAACAAGATTTATTGTTATACAAAATTGAGTATATGTTCTTACATGTTTAAACTTCAGTCACCTTCAAAGTACTCTCCATTTGATGCAATACATTGAGATACTTTTTCCACTGCTCAAAACAGTTTTGTACTTGTCAAATTTTGATGCCTCAAAAGGTTCTTCTGCTGTTTTTTGTTTCACCTCTTCCCATAGGCAAAACATTTTTTCTTTTGAAGACTTTTTTCTTCTGGAGAAACAAAAAAAAGTTGCTTGGGCCAAGACTGTGTGAATAGGGAGGGTGGGGCATGGGGTCAGTCATGTCATTTTTTGGTCAAAAACTGCAGAACACTCAGCGTAGTGTGGGCAGGTGCATTGTCATGGGGGGAAGAACCAGTCACCTGTTTGCCACAAGTTGGAACATTTCTTCTGCAAATTATGATACAACCTTCTCATAACTTCCAGATAAAAACTTCAGTTCACCATTTGATCCAAAGAAACAAATTCCTAGTATACTATAAGGGGCCCACCCTCTAAAAGACAGTTTTGGCTTTTTTTTTCCTTTGCATCCCCCCCTCCTGTAGTATAAAATAGGCTATAATGTCTTTTGTTGTGATTCTTTTTGTATATATCATTCACTTTGATGTCTCTTTCAACTACCCTTTTTACCAAAGGATTATAGTTATAGACTTTATTTATTACTTAAAGGGTTGTTTGCACTTTAAAGAATGCTTGGAGTCATCCTGAAGAAAATTTGTATTTTCAATATCAGCTATCTTGTCTACATATGTGTGTGTTCGAAATAAATATATTTCAGTAACCTTTTATTAATTGATAAAGGCAGGTGAAGCTTCTCAAACGGAAACTGTGTCTGAAGAAAACAAAAGTCTTATCTGGACACTGCTGAAGCAGGTTCGTCCTGGCATGGACCTGTCCCGGGTGGTTCTGCCTACATTTATTTTGGAACCTCGTTCTTTCCTGGATAAACTTTCAGATTACTACTATCATGCGGATTTCCTATCTGAGTAAGTAGATTCTTATATCTTAAAATAGAAGATACTTCATGATTTTAGAGATTCTTGAGAGTGCTATTTTCAATTATTGTTTCGTTCCAAAATCAGACTCTAATGAGATACTGCTCTCTCTTCTCCACCACTTCTGTAATTGACCTTAATAAGAAGCATACTTAATACTTTGCTATAAGGTTTCCATTTGTGAAGTTGAATTGAGAGATCATAAGCTTGAGGAAGACAGGAATTCTACCCCTCACCTGACAGCATGCTATTACAAGACTTTTGACCTCATGCTCACCTTACACTGGAAGCAGTGGTTGACCTCACTTGTTCTCCCCCACCTAAGCCCTCGTTCAGGTCCTACCCTGGGGCTTGTGTTTTCATTCACACTTAACTCTGCATCCTTGTAAGGCATGTGCAACTTACCACAACCAGAATGCCCTCCCAGTTGCTGGCTTTTAGAATAATCCATACTCTCTTTGCTTTTCTTCTGAAGCTGCCAGCTGATCCTGGTTGTAATTCTGAAGAAAGCAGGAAAAAAGAAGACAGAGGAGGAACTGTCCACCTCTGTCCCAGCAATGTCTTGGAGAACCAGTAAACTTTGAAAAGAATGGCACCTTTGTGCCCAGGCTTCCAGCTCTCACCTGCTGCCCCCATTCTGGCAGCAGTGGTGTCTCAAAGCACTATGCTTTCTATGATAATGATTTTTGGCCCTATGACTTGATTTTTAGTCCATATCAAGAGCTGTTGTCAGTTTTAGTCTGTTAATTGCACTAGTGAACATTGCAAAAAATCATAAGCTGAGTCAAAAGATTATTGATAAACTGTGGGAAATTTTTGCAGATTTTATCATAGACAAAAAGAACATTAACTTCCCTAAAATAAAAAGAACTTTTAGAAATTGAATGAAAATCTTACCCAGCATGCCACACACAGCAACCTTGAGCAAATGTTATCCACTTTCTGTTCCTTGAGAAAGAAGACTAACTGATCTGGCACCCATAAATTTATTACAACAGTCCCTGGCACAGAGTAAAGATCATTAAGTATTGAAAATTCAGACCAGGCTCGATGGCTCAGCCTGTAATCCCAGCACTTTGGGAGGCCGAGACGAGTGGATTGCCTGAGTCTGCGGGTTTGAGACCAGCCTGGGCAACTTGGTGAGACCTCACCTCTACGATAAATCCAAAATTAGCCAGACGTGATAGTACACCTGTGGTTCCAGCTACTTGGAAGGCTAAGGCAGAAGGACTGCCAGAACCCAGCAGGTCGATGCTGGGGTGGCCGTAAGTATACATGGCACTCCAGCCTGGGCAACAGAGACTCCAACTCAAAAAAAAAAAAGAAATTGAATGAAAATGATTAACAACCTATAGAAAAAGGAGTGGAGGAGGCAGTTCAGTAGAAACAGTCCTTAAACACATAAAACCTCATGTAAATAAGAAACATGTAGATTCAAACAATAGTAAGATATTATAGTTCATCTATCACATTGACAAAAAGTTGAAAAAGTTTTATACCCTAGTTGTGTCTTATAGCTTCTGTAGTTCTTTCTTTAATCTGTTTAGAGATGATTTTCTCTCGGGATCTTAAGCAGTTCCTACAAATCACAACACCTTCTTGAGAGATGCTCCTATTTCCAATAGAAAGATTCTACTTTTCTGGCAACACCCACTATTATCATGGCTCTCTGGGGTAACAGGCACTCACATATGCTACTATGAGCTATGCCGACTAGTTCAGTGCCCTAAGGGACTCTGGCAGTATTTACCAAAAGTATGGATGCATTCATCATTTGATCAAGTTATCCCACTTCTGCTAATAACTTCTACAGATTTAGCTCTGCATATACAGAAGGACATGTATACAAGATTGTTTCTGTGGAGTTAAGTGTCCAGCCATAGTCAACTGATTAACTTAATGTATGCTACATCCATACATATAAGGAAAAACTTATATGAAGCTACAGAGGGACCTCCAGGATTGTGTGTAAAGAAAGCTAGGTACAGAAGAATGTGTGTAGTTTGCTACCCCCCCCTTTTTTTTAAGAGAAATAACACTAGGTATTTATCTTTTCTTGCTTATGGTTAAAGAAAACTTTTTTAAAAGAAGTCTTAAAAAAATTACTTATAGGAGGTAAGTAGGAACAGTGTGGACACATGGGATAATAGCAATATGTATTTTTTTTTATTACTTTGGCTTTTGAACAATGTATGTATAAAATTTCAAATAAAATTGCATAGTAAGAGAATGTCAACCAAGACAGGAACAGAGTAGTTAATCCTGAAAAGTTGAACCTTTCACTTAGCACGGTTGTCAATAACTTCTACCTCAAGCCTTATCTTAAAATTCACCACGTCTGGATTGTCAGACATGCTCATGAAACACAAATGCTCTTTTTTAAATTTTAAAACTTTTTTTGGGACAGGGTCTCACTCTGTTGCCCTGGCTTAAGTACAGTGGCATGATCATAGCTCACTCAAGACTTGAAATCCTGGACTCAAGCAATCGTCCTGCCTCTGCCTCCCAAGTTTTGGGACTACAGGCATGTACTACCATGCCTGGCTAATTTTTAAAAAAAAAATTTTGTGGAGATGGTGTTGCCCAGGCTGGTCATGAACTCCTGGCTTCAAGCAATCCAGCCACCTCAGCAACCTCTCAGAGTACTGAGATGATAGACATGAGCCACTGTACCCAGCCACAAAGGCCTTTTTTATAAATAAGAAAAAGCTACCTTACAAACAGGAAACACAAAAAACAACTTCTCAATATATTTTGCTTCTAACATACACAATCATTGTTTTCCAATGTTTACAGCAATAGCAATACTGAGGAGGGCAGCTGAGTTACGGCTCTTATAGATTTCTTCTTTAAAATGAAAAGTAAGCTGGGTACGGTGGCTCACACCTATAATCCCAGCACTTTGGGAGGCTGAGACGAGAGGATTGCCTGAGCCCAGGGGTTCAAGACCAGCCTGGTCAACTTGGCGAGACCTTATCTTTATAATAAATCAAAAAATTAGCCAAGCATGGTGGCTACTTTGAAGTCTGAGGCAGAAGGATGGCCCGAGCCCAGAAGTTCAGTACTTCAGTGGCCGTGAGCGTGCCACTGTACTCCAGACTGGGCAACAGAGTGAGACTTCAACTCAAAAAGAAAAAGAAAAAATTACTCTTTGATTTTTTGTTATACTGGTAGAGTTTGTAAGCTCTGGAAAATCAGTTGGTAACACACAGAGAGGGATGAAGAATAAAAATAGGTTAAAACCTTTTTGAATTAATTTAAATTATTTAACTTTTCTTCATATTTGTAATTTGAAACTAGAGATTGGAAATTCATAAAATTCTATAATTAGAGAGGTAATTTGCACAGAAGAGCTAACCTTAGCCTGTCTTCCCCTCAATGTGATACAGCACCTATCAGTTATCATTGATCTCCTCTAACTACACCTGAGACTGGACTCAACCAAGCACACACCGATCCTTCACTGGCATATGGAACTGAAGACCTCTAACAAATTGTTAATGGGGTTGCTTGGCCAGTGCCCACCATTGCAAATGCCGGGCATCACGTAGTATACCAGTCTCAAAATCTGTTTATTTTTTTCAGTCACAATTTCTTACAAAGCCTGGGTTCTGCAGAATTCTACTTCAGAAAGCTTGGTTTGAAGAGTTTCCAAAAACTACTTCAGCAAAGACCTGGGCAGTATATCAAAGAATAGGAATGGGGGAAAGTGAACAGATTAAGAAAAATGATTCTTGGAAACTGACTGACTTGGTTGTTTTGCCACCTATTTTAAATATGAATTATGCTTTCCAATTATATCATACTCAATTATTGGTTGATGAGAGATAATTTTGTGATATATTCTGTAAAAATTTTGTTTACCATTTTGTTTTTTAGAGCTGCCCTTGAAGAAAATCCTTATTTCCGTTTGAAGAAAGTAGTGAAGTGGTATTTGTCAGGATTCTATAAAAAGCCAAAGGTAATGTCTGTATTTTACTGTCTTTAGCCTTTTATGAGTTCCTTATATTTTATATCATCTTTAGATTATTAACAATTATATTACTGGACCTCTTTGAGTTAGTAAAATAGCAAAATACATGATCATTTAGACCTATATTATGGTTGAAGTCATTTACTTTTATTTCATGTAAATTTTATTTGCTATGAAATATTATAGGGATGGCTCCCAGATGAGAGAGTAAACCTGTTTTGATTGGATAAAACTATTTGGAATTTTCCATAATTGTAATTTGAAACTTGTATGTTTTTTACTAGGGACTGAAGAAACCTTATAATCCCATACTGGGTGAAACTTTCCGTTGCTTATGGATTCATCCTAGAACAAACAGCAAAACATTCTATATTGCTGAACAGGTATTAGAAAAGCATGTAACAGAAATAAAACTGATCTGGAAGTTATTGGGATATTTTTATAGAAAATATTAACTCAGTGATCTCACTGTTCTTTAGCCTTTCTTATTAGTAAACATGTGGTAAGCATTTAACCTTATAGTACTAAGTATTACTAAAATACTACAAAATAATACTCCCAAGTATTATTATTACACTCATGGAATCTTTTGACCAAAATTAAATTTTTATTTTTTCTTTCCCCTGCCCTGCCCTTTTCATTTATTTATTTTTTTGGCCATGCCCATTTTCCAGCACACCTTTATAATCATGTTCAAATTTCTTCAGTGGTTCTCCACTTCTGAAATCAAATTTAGACCCATTTGTTTGGCATTCAAGGTCCCCCATAGCTTTACAAATATATCTCAGATTAAATGCCTCCCTAGCCCTCCACAATAGATAAACCTGTGCATTCAGGACTAGGTAATCAGATCTTACACTTTCTTGTTTCATTATGTTTAAGTTTAATTCACCTATCCCAATATTTCTTCTCAGCTATTCTTCATCTAAAAATACCCCGACCTGCTCAACTTCGTGATACATATGACTGCAGCTCCCAGTGATTTTTCCCTTCTCTAACTTATATATTATTTTTTTGTGATTATCCACTAGCTATTATGTTAGTATTTGTATTATTTACCTTTTTATAGAATATTTATTTTCCTAATTGAATTGTTAGCTCCTTGAGGTTATATCTCTGTTTCTCTCCAACAATGCTTCTCCTTTTGTTGTACACATAGTAGGCTGTCAGAAAATTTCTAATTTTAAAACCTTCAATAATGTAAACTTATGTATATCTATATTCATGATTTTCAGTCTCCTCTATCTGTACAAACCTGAAGAAAATATGACATTCTCTTTCAATAACAACAATCCTTATTATGATAATTCTCACCTTGAGTGTAAGGAGAATGAGAAGACCATAGGTTCTTTGAAAAACCTTCTACTTCCTCTAGAAGTTTTGATACACCCCTCAGATCAAAACCACTTATATATGCATTTTTTAAAAGTTAATAATTTTACTACCTTGCATTTTAGTGTACTATAATTCTCCACAAAATTTATAAGAGTTAGATTGATTCTAGCTCTGTCCCATTTCAAGAAACATGAGATGTAAATATATTGAAAACATTAGGTTATTAAAGAACATATTTGTCAAAGCTTGTGTTTTCTTTCTGCAGCCAATTCAGTAATCCATATGAAGAACAGCCACTATTTTAGTTATCCATTTGCTGTGTAAAAAATTACTGCCTAAACTGAATGGGTTAAAACAGTGTTTATTATTTCATTTGATGAGGTTAAGGGATCTGGCAGCTGCTTAACCGGGAGACTCTGGCTCCAAGTGTCTTATGACCTTGCAGTCAGGATGTCAGTCAGCTTTGCAGTCATCTCCAGGCTTGACTGGTTTGGAAGATAAATGGCCTTTCAAACTCATCTTGTGACTCTTGACAAGAGAACTCAGTTCCTCACCATATGGGCCTCTCTATAGGGTTTTTCACAATATTAAAGCTGGCTTTTCAGAACTAATAGTTGAGAGAACTCAAAATGGAAACTGCTTTGTAACCTAATTTCAGAAATGTCTTACCATCACTTCAATACAAACCAACTTTGGTATGGTGTAAGAGGAGCCTACCTAGTAGTGTGACTACCAGGAGGTGAGTTTTATTAGGAGACAGAGGCTGGTTACTATACCAACAATATTTAATTTTATTACTTACCAAATGTTTCCTCTTAAAAGCTTTGAACTTTTGATAATTTCATATTAATATGCATATATTTTCATATCTTATGGTTTTTTTTATGTGTTTAATAGGTGTCCCATCATCCACCAATATCTGCCTTTTATGTTAGTAACCGAAAAGATGGATTTTGCCTTAGTGGTAGTATCCTGGCTAAGTCCAAGTTTTATGGTAAGTTCCCCTCTGTCCCAACCTGCACCCTTTCCTGGGAGGTGATGTTTTCTGGTGCGCTTTTATTTAGATAATATCTTGAGGTGTTTTCAGCAAGGAATTGTTTTTATGTCTTTTTAAGTATCTTTACTTGAATAATAGCCCATTTCTGCCTATTCATAAAGTTATGGCTCATTTCATATAAGTTCATCATTTAGATGTAAACTCATCACAGATCACTCATGAAAGCAGAATGATTGCCTACTGTAGCCCTTTAGTGCATGATTTTTTATTTCGCCTTTAACCCTGCCAATTTTTTTGTTTTGTTTTATCTCAGTGTACTTGAGAGACCAATCTTTCTGTTTTAGTCTTTGAATATAGAGATAGAAAATCCAAGTAGAGTTAGAATACTTGTCCAGGTTCAGCCAAAAATTTGGACCAGATAATATACCAATAAAAAATTTTGCAAGTACAAGAAAAAAATGGAGAAATATGGTTATAATGGAAACCTTTGGCACAAAAACTTTGACAATTCAAACAAATCAAATTATAGCCAAAGCTATTTGCCAGTAGAAAATATATAACCTTAAATGATTTTATTTGGTTTTTAATTTATTTGGTTTTTATTTGTTTTTTAAAATAGGGAAAAATCAAAGAATTAAATTTCATCCAGAAAATGTTAAACCTGAGAGAAAATAATTCTTATGGTAAAATAGGAAAAATAAAATATAGTAAAATATATAGTCTGATTATATTTACCTAAGAAGAGGTGGGTGCTGAATCATAGATAAGCCTGTGACAGGGAGATCTAAGAGTAATTTTAATCAGGAACATAATGTATGTCCTTTGTTTTCCTTCAAGATGTCTCTTACTTCCCTTGATGTTTGTTTTGGTTTGTTTGGGAGTTTTTAACCTTTTGTTTGTTTCAGAGCATGATTGCTTGGCTTTTTTCTAAAGTTCAATATATTTCATATTTGAGTTATTCCTTTCTCTACTTCATCTTTCCATCCCTCCACATTCCCCAACCCCAACCAAGTATAAATGGCTTTTATGAGTGTATCTTCTATGGCTTTTATGAGTGTAGAAATTTTTACTGAGTATGAGGTACATAGCTCATTTTCTGGGACTACTTCAGCAGTTGGCCTTCTTTTTTCTGTTATAGTATAATTTGCATACATCAGAGCTATCTTTTTTAAATATAATTTGAAAGAATATATTAAATCCACATGAACTCAAGATTGTCAAAATTGTTAAATAACTGGATAAATACAAAAGACATTTTTTTCTTTCAGCTTCTTTAAAATACATATTACTGTTCAAAACAAAAACGTTAGCATTTTCTTGTGAGTTTTATAACATTTGCAGATGTAATACCTAAAACCGTAACACAAAGGCCTGGAGGAGAATGGACCTACAGGCTGCAAAATTTTTCTGTTTTTTTATAAAGTGGTATAATGTTAACTGTAAGTGGACTGCAAAATTTTAGAGATAAATACGAGGGGGACCTAAAAAAAAACCCTGGAATTTATTTATAAAAAATTGCATCCGTATTCTTACATGTTTGAACTTTGGTCACTGTCAAAGTACTCTCTTGTTTGATGCAATACACCTATCAAGACATTTTTTCCATTGCTCAAAACAGTTTTTGAACTTGTCAATTTGATGCCTTTTAGTGCTTCTGCTGTTTTTTGTTTCACCTCTTCCACATTGGCGAAACGTTTCCCCTTGAGGACTTTTTTCTTCAGGGGAAACAAAAAATTTCACTTGGGGCAAGATTGGGTAGATAGGACTGGTGGGGCACAGGGATTGCCATTTTTGGTAAAAAGTTGCTGAACCCTCAGCGCGATTTATAGGCAGATGTGCTCATAAATCACCCATCATGAAATAGGCAAACACATTGAAAGAATCTCCAAAAAAATCCTCACTGAAGCAATGCAGCCTCTTACAACAATGCTAGCTGGTATAATGATGCTGAAGGGTTCCTAGAATACTTACCTAGCAGAAGAAGCCTGTACTACAAGGGGCCTACCTTCCAAAAGATAAGTATGGGTTTTTTGGGGTTCTCCCTCATATTTGTCTCAAGATTTTTTTTTTTTTTTGTGGGCTTTTTTTTGAGTTGGAGTCTAACTCTGTTGCCTAGGCTGGAGTGCAGTGGCATGCTCATGGCCACCGCAGCTTCAACCTGCTGGGCTTAGGCGATACTTCCTCCTCAGCCTTCCAAGTAGCTGGAACTACAGATGCACGCCACCACACCTGGCTAATTTTTGTGATTTATTGTAGAGACGAGGTCTCGCCAAGTTGCCCAGGCGGGTCTCGAAACTGCAGGCTCAAGCAGTCCACTCGCCTTGGCCTCCCATAGTGCTGGGATTACAGGCTGAACCACCATGCCCGGCCTTCTCCCTCATATTTGTAATCCCTAAAGCAGTAGTAGTCCTCAATTTGGAACAGGTTTGCCCCCAGGAGATATTTGGCAATGTGTGAAGACATTTTTGTTTTTCACAACTGGAAGATTCAGTAGGTCAAAGCTAGAGATGCTGCTAAACATCCTTCAATGCATGGCACAGCCCCCAAAACAAATAATAATCCAGTCTAAGATGTTGATAATGCCACTGTTAAGAAGCCCTATCCTAAAGCAAACACACACACACACACACACACACACACACACACACACACACACACACACACAACAATACCAAAAAGCATAAAAAGCCAATAAGAAAATAAATTATTTAAAAGTTTTAAATAATTTTTAGAGGAAAATCTGATCAAGGAACAAAAATCAGAAGGAGAAATAGAAAACACATAATAAAATGGTAAACCAAAACCCAACAATATCATGATTATATAAGTGTTAATGGCACAGATATTCTAATTTAAAGACAGAGATTGTCAGTTTGGATAAAACTACGAGAACCAATGCACTTTAAAGAAAAGACACAAATAGATCATAAGTAAATGGAAAGTAAAAGTTAAAAGCTAAACTATACAAACTTTAAGTATAATTTCAAGACAAAGAGTGTTAACAGAGATACAGAAAAGCATTTCATAATGATAAGTATGCTGGGAAAGCATAATCATAAATGCCTGTTCATCTAATAATAGAACTTCAGCATTTATGAAGCAAAAACTGACATAATTAAGGGCAGAAAAGAGTCAATCTAAAGTCATAGTTGGAGGATAACACTGTCTTTCCACAAGTGATAGGACAACTACATGAAATACAAGTGAAGATATAGAAGACCTGAAGGAACACTGTCAACTACCTTAACCTGATTGATGTTTCTGGAACACTACAGTCAACAATTGCAAAATACACATTATTTTCATGTATTTTTATGGTATTTCCACCAGTATAGACTACATACTTGACCAAAAAACAAGTCGAAATTTCAAAAGACTGAAGTCATATAGTGTATGTTCTGCAACTTCAATGAAATAGAAATAATAAGATGCCAAGGTAAACTCCAAATATTTGGAAATTAAAGCACTTCTAAATAAACCATGGGCCAAAAAAGAAATCACAAGGGAAATTAGAAAATATTTTAAATTAAAGGATAAAAATACAGCATATCAAGATTTATGGATGCAATGAAAGCAATGGTTAGCAGGAAATTTGTCAATTTCAATTAGAAAAGAAAGCAGTAGTCATTGATCTGACTTTTTAACCTATTGAATTAGAGAAAAAGCTGTTTAAATGCATAACAACTAGAAGAAAGAAAATGATAAAGAACAGAAGTCAGTATAGAAAGTAGAGAAACAATACAGAAAGTCAAGAAATCCAGGAGTTAATTTTAGACTGATCAAGAATAAAGGAGGATACAAATCAGAAATCAATGTAGAATCTGTTCGTACTCTGAAAGGATGATAAGGAAATGATGTGGACAGTTTTATGCTAATAAATTTGACAATTTGGATGAAATGGGCAAATTTATTGAGTGATACAAATGACCAAAGCTGACCCAAGATGAGGTGTAAACTTTTAACTGCTTTATATCAAAGAAATTAATTTAGTAATTAAAAATCTTTCTTCAAGAATATCCAAATGTTTTGAATTCTTTTGGACATTTAGGCAAGAAATAATATTAGTTCTACACAGCTCCTTACAAATAATGCAACAAAGGGAGTCATGTTATGAGACCAGATATTATAAGAAAAGCCCAAAGCCAGATATTATAGGAAAAGCAAACTGCAGATCAATACCCTTTATGAATATACATGCAAAAATTCTTAACAAATCAGTAACAAATCAATATATATAAAGGATAATATGTATATGCACATACGCATAAGTAAAAGTATATATTAAAAGGATGTATATCATGATGAAAGATTGAACTACAAAAATCAGTTGTATTTCTGTGTACTAGAAATTAACTTTTACAGAATGAATCTTTTTTTGTTGTTGTTGTTTTTAGGTAGGGGTTTCACAACGTTGCCCAGGCTGGTCTTGGAACTCCTGGGCTCAAGAGATCCTCCTGTGTAGCTGGGATTACAGATACATGCCACCATGTCCAACTCAGAATGCAATTTTAAAAACAACTCTGATTACAATAATACTCATCAAAGTAAAATATTTAGAAATAAATGTAATAAAAGATGTGTAAGACCTGTATACTGAAAACCTCAAAACATTGTTGAGAAAAAATTTAAAAGACCTAAATTAGGGGAGAGGTATACTGTGTTCATATACATGGAAATATTTAATATTATTAAGATGTCAAGCCGGGCTCAGTGGCTCAGCCTGTCCTTTGGGAGGCTGAGGTGAGTGGATTGCCTGAGCCCGGGGGTTCAAGACCCACCTGGGCAACTTGGCGAGACCTCATCTCTACAATAAATCAAAATTTAGCTGGGCATGGTAGCACGCGCCTGTAGTTCCAGCTACTTGGAAGGCTGAAGTGCAAGGATCACCGGAGTCCAACAGATCGAGGTTGCGGTGACTGGGAGCAGCCACTGCACTCCAGTCTGGGCGACAGAGTGAAACTCCAACTCAAAAAAAAAAAAAAAGATGTCAGAGCTCCCAAAATTTAACTATAGATTCAATGCCATCCCAGTCAAAATCCTAGCAGGCTTTTTAAAGAAATTGGCAAGCTGGTTCTAAAATGACAAGGAAATACCAAGGACCCAGAGCAGCCAAGACAATTTTGAAAAAGACAAAATAGGTCTCTCATTGCCTAATTTCAGTGTTAAGCTATATTAATCTATACAGTGTAGTGTCGACATAAAGATACATATATAAACTAATGGAATAGAATAGAGTTCAGATGTAGACCTGCACACATACGATCAAATGGTTTTGATATGGAAAACGATGGTCTAAAGTTAAACATACACCTACCATAAACTCAGAAATTCCACTCCGTAATATTTACCCATGAAAAATGAAAATAGATGTCCACACAAAGACTTGTATATAAATGCTCATATATGTTCACAGCATTATTCATAATAGTCCAGGACTGAACACAAACTAATGTTCATCAACTATTATGGATACACCACAACTATAGAGTACTAACCAACAAGAAAAAGGAATGGAATACTGATACAACAGTGTGAATAAATCTGAAAAACATTGTGCTAAGTGAAAGAAGTTGAGCACAATAAACTATTCTATAATGCCATCTGTACAAAATTCTAGAATAGGTAAAACCAGCAATAGAAAACAGACCAGTAAGTAGTGTCCTGGGACTAGGAGAATGAATTGACTGCTGAGGAGCAGGGAGGGACTTTTTGGAGTGAGGGTAAGTTCTATATCTTGATTGTGGTAGTGTTTATATAACCCTATGAAGTTTCTAAAACTATCAAATTTCACATTAAAATGGGTCACTTATGTAAATTTATGCTTCAATAAAGGTTGGGAAGGGAGGAGAGAAAAATACTTACAGGAGAAAAGCTAGAAGAAATTACCAAAAAATTTTATAGTTGATTGTATTTTGGTGTTTTATTTTTGTAAATCATCTACAGGATCATTGTATCAGTTATAAGTATTTATAGCTTGGGACTTATGTTATAGAGTGAAAATGTTTCATTGAATATTCTACATGTTTAGGATTTTTTCTGTGACCCACATAAATAACATAACAACCATATAACCATACCTTTTTTAAGTACTCATTTTATAAGAATAGGAATATGAAAGAAATATGTTTTAGATACAAGGTAAGCACATTGAGATTGAGACATTTTAAAGACATTCCCCTGTAGATATCTGGTAGGTGTCCTAAATAGTACATTTCGTTTGTTTTGAATTTGAATTAGTTTTGTGAAATTTAATAAGCAATACTTATTTCAGGAAACTCACTATCTGCAATATTAGAGGGAGAAGCACGGTTAACTTTCTTGAATAGAGGTGAAGATTATGTGATGACAATGCCATATGCTCATTGTAAAGGTAAATATTTTCTATACTGGAGTTAAGATATTTCTTAAACTTTCTTAAGCAACTGTATGTGACTGTGATTTGTTAGGCTTTGAGATTAGAGTCAGATTTATTTGAAAGCATCTTGGTTTACAGATACTTAAGATTATTACTATTATTTGCTAACTATTTCTGTGGTGAATTAATTCATCCATAATGGACTTTTTGTGATATGTGCTTTAGTGGAAGAAATTGATTTATAATAATAAAATTTCTTTGCACTTGCCTTATGTGCAGGTTTTGAAATTTGATGAAACTTTCCACTGTTTCAGAATCCTTAAAGGTGATTTTCATCTTCTTGCACCACCACCCTTTAAAATTTAATTTTCTATTTTTTAAAAAAGTTTTCAAGTAAAGTTTATTTAGGAAGTAAATAAGAGAGAGAGAGAAAGAGAACTAATATACTATTTTTAAAATTCACTATTTTTAATGTACCAGTTTTTAAAAAAATTCTCATCTCCGTTTGGCAATCTCTTAAACTTAATATATTTTGCTTTTTCTCCATTATTAGAAAACAGATAAGGGTATTAATAACTGTCATTTACGACATGCTAGGCACCCAGCTCATGTAGTCATTTCAGCTGCCCTCTAAAGTAGAAATACTACTGTTCCTGATTTGAGAATGAGGAAAATGAAGCTTAAAGAGATTTAATTTGCTTCAGAATGCACAAGAAAGATATGGCAAAGTCAAGCTCTGAATCCATGTTCTGAACTTTTAACAATTTTGCATCAGCTTAAACATTAAGCCTAGTCATTATTTGTATCTTCCTTTCCAACCCCTTTCTTAAAAATAACTTTTTTTGCTAATTATCCTCTATTTTAGGAACTAATCCACGAAAACACAGAAATTATTTAATATGGCCTCATTTCACTGGTGAGGAGCCTGGGAGGCCAAAGAATCTTATCCAAGGCCAGCTAAGTTAGCACAAAAGTAGCCAACTTGTGGCTTTAGGCTAGATGGTTCTTAGAGCTTCATGTATAGTTTTTGAAAAAGACATGAAGATAAATATCTTAATTATGAATTGGTAAGAATACATATTTTTAAATTTTATATCATTTGGCATAAATAAAATTATATTCCGTGTAGCTATGCATGCTATATCCAACTAGCAATAGGAAAATTATGAGTTTCCTTTACGTATATAGTTGATTCTGGTTATTTGTAGTAGTATGTTACGTAAAGTTACCAGAGATACTGAATCTGCAGTTATTGAAACATTGCTCCTAGGGGAAATCTGAGGTTTAGTTCCTGTGAGCCCCTTGTCATAACATTTTCGTCAACCAATCAGTATATAACCCTGTTTTATATGTGTTTCTATTTAAAGACACCTTCTTTAATTATTACATTAATTATGTATTATTGATTCATTAACACTGAACTAACAACAACATTCATGCCTGAACAAAACTTTAGTGTACATATTTTCCCTGTAAGGTACTTCACAATCTTCTTGAACTTAAAAACACTGGACAGTACTTCAACACTACGCTTGGGACCATTTTAAATAGCAACAAAAATGCACAAAAGACATGAAAAGTGTGGTACTAAATATACTGCAAAAAGGGTACTTATTTTATAGTATGGGAGCTGAAATGAGAAGATAGAGTGTTCCCTTGTTTGACCTCAGCTGGAAATGTATGCATCTGGTGACTTGAGTTTTTTGCTACTCTGCACACGTTTGCAAGTGACCACAAAAGTACTGTGGGTATTGGTATTTTACTGAGTAGGTAAATTACAAAAATGGAATCTGCACATATTGTGAGTCAGCTGTTATCCATTTATATCCTACAGAATCAACTTTATGTCTATATTATAGATTTTTACTGGGTGAGACAGAATGCCCTTGAATTATATGTTTCTCCTAGAAGATTGCAAAACTGCTTCTTATTAGCCATTGTCTCTCTCTCTCTCTCCAATTTTTTGTCCAATTTTTTTTTCCTTTTAGGAATTCTTTATGGTACAATGACACTGGAGCTTGGTGGAACAGTCAATATTACATGTCAAAAAACTGGATACAGTGCAATACTTGAATTTAAACTAAAGGTTAGTTGAGAATGATAGTAGATATCACCTCATTAAAGGGGAGCTGTGTTTTAAAAAAAATTGAATAAGGCCAGACACAGTGGCTCAAACCTGTAATCCCAGCACTTTGGGAGGTCAAGGAGAGAGGATTGCCTAAGCCCAGGGATTTGAGACCACCATGGTCAGTATGGCAAGACCTCGTCTCTACAATAAATCAAAAAATTAGTTGGGTGTGGTAGCACGCACCTATCGTTCCAGCTACTTGGAAGGCTGATGCCAAAGGATCACCTGAGCCCAGCACGTTGAGGCTATGATGGTTGCACTCCAGCCTGGGCAACAGAGTGAGACTCCAACTCAAAAAACAATAAAAAATAAAATTGAATAAAGGGCACCATTTAGTTCCTAATTAAGGACTAAATCAAGAACACAATTCATGTCATGTCAAGGACAAGTGCATCTAAGGGTTAAGGGCAAAGCTGGGTGAACATCTTGAGATTGACAGCAGCCTTGGAAGATTCAAATTAATACAAAGATATCACATTTTGTTTTTAATTTTAATGATTAAAACTGTCAGTATTATATAAGAGGTGAGATTTAAGAAGAGATTGGATAGAAATTTCTTAGTAAATTAAAGCATTGCTTTACAAAATACCAGATGATATGTGTCAACTCATGGGTCTAGTTGTATATACTGAGAGTTGTATTAGTTACTATTTCAGCATAATAAATTACTTTAAAGCTCAGTCTTAAAAATAACCATGTTTGGGCCTCATGAGTTCTGTGGCTCAGGAATTTGGACAGGGCACATTGTGGATGGCTTGTCTCTGCTACACGGATGTCTGGGACCTCAGAAAGACTTGCAGGCTACTGGTGAACTCAGATTGAGGGCTGAAGTCATCTGAAGGCTTGTCGCTTACTTGATGCCTGATACCTGGGCTGGGGTGACTGAAAGACTGGGACTGCCAATCTGAGCACCTGTATGCTTAGTCTTTCCATGTGACTTGACTTCACAGCGTCTTCAACATAGTCAGACATCTTACTTGACAGCTTAGGTTTCCAAGTGCAAGTGTCCCAGTGAGCAAGGCAGAAACTGCATCTGCCTTCTGTAACCCAGTCTCAGAAGCTAAATTATATCACTTCCACTGCTTTCTATTAGTTGAAGAGTTACAAGCCCACTCAAATTCAAGGAGAAGGCATATAAACCCCTTCTCAATGGGAGTATGGTAAGGTCTCATTGAGGAAGAACATGCAGGCTAGAGGAGATTTGCAGGGTAGATATTGTTGAGGTTATCTTTGGAAAATTCTGTCTGCCTCAGAATGAAAGGGAAATTTGAGACCTTTTCACAATGTCAATTAACTGTACATTATGTTTAGATACAAATATTTCTTTAAAGTATGTAGTATTTATTACTAAATTGCTTCTATATTGATATCTAGCTGATCAGCAATTTTGCTCAAATAAAAAGGAGCTCTTAAGTATTATTTGATGCATTACCTCTTGTTTGATTTTTCTTTAACCTTAACAACTTTTTGCTTGAATGGTGTAAAAATGCTTGAAAGTCACGATAAAAGAGGTCATATATATAGTACCTTTGTCCCTAAGGAGAGACATCAGTAAGGCAATATAGTAACTCAAAGCATATTCCTTCTAATTTTATTTCTTGGAGGATTTTTTGACTATGTATTTTACTTTGTTTTGTTTTGAAGGAAGGGGCATTATTTCTTTCAATAGATCATTAAATTCCTTAGGTTCACTGAGTTGTTATTGCTTATTATAATGTCACGTTGATAGGGCACAGTCTTAACAGTCAGGAGGGAGCACAGGACGTGAGTCTGTTTATTAATGTGATCTTTCTTAATATGTTGATTTAGCTTTCACATAGTCTATTTTTACCTATTTGTCTCCCAGCAGCGATTCAAATTTCTTTGTATTAAACACTTCTAACTAAAATTTGAATCAGTATTTTACCATTTCTGCCTTGAAGAGCACTGTCACTATATATTTACTTTTTTGTTGTTTTGTCTACATTATATGTAAGTGTAAGTTAAAAGTAAGATGTTTAACATTTTTGTCTTTTAAAAGCCATTTCTAGGGAGTAGTGACTGTGTTAATCAAATATCAGGGAAACTTAAATTGGGAAAAGAAGTCCTAGCTACTCTGGAAGGCCATTGGGTAAGTATTTTGCATATCAGTTTTACAAAAATAATTTTATTCTCTGGAATAAAATTAGCAATCGCATTTTAAAATTAAAAGCTTATTATTCAATTGCTAAAAACATCACTATTCTACATAATCATAAGTTTAGTAGCAGATACTTTGGTGTTTAACTGTTATCAACTATGTTTAGTTTTATGTAATACTTCATCTGGGGCCTCAGGAAGACGTGCAGGCAATGAGTGACTCGGTGTTGGGGGCTGAAGTCATATGAAGGCTTATCACTTACTCACATGTCTGATGCCTGGCTGGGATGACTGAAAGACTAGGGCTGCTCCAACTAAAAACAATCAAATACATAAATAAATTGCTCAAAGTAAGTAGTGGAGCCAGAATTCCAGCCCAGGGACTCTGGCTTCAGGACTATTCTTTTGAATATGGTACTATACTTCCTCTCACTTAGAAGAAAGAGCATAGTTTCGGTTAGAGTTACATTTCTTTTAGAGGAACATGGAAAGAATATTGTAGTATATGAAAGCAATGACTTTCTTCTCTGGTGACCCAAATTCATATTGATGTAATTTTGTTAAGAGGAGCTTAAATTGAATGAAAAGCATCATGGTATTACCTAGATGCGTCCTCACTGTAAAAACTGAGAATATGCTACTTTCTGCATTATAATCAGAAAATGATACAAAATATAAGAAAATGAAACTGTATTTAGAGACTTGGCTAAGTGGCCACATACATTCTGAAAAAAAGTTTTAATTGACTTCCATCTGAATGTCATCTGGAAAAAAGATAAAGCAGCATTCATTTTTTTAAAAGTGAAATTTCTAAGGTTATGCTCAATTTTTAAATGTTGAAAAAGGCTCTTCAAGAGTGGGTATGGTGTGTGTGTGCTGAATCCATGGATAGTCAACAGCATCTCATTGTAGCTGCAACAACTATTATGCTCTACTCTGACAGTTTGGAGTTTGTTGTTGAGGCTTTGCTTGTAATGTTTGAAATCTATTTATTAAGTAAAACTTGTGAAATCTCATGAACTTGCCGTATATCCAAGCAATTTTTAAAAATTGTTTGCTAGTATTACATATTTAATCTTAATGTTTTTGTAAAAATGACAAGAAATATGAGGTTTTTGGAAAAGTGCTAGTTATATTTGTTTTTAAAATGTGTTTTACTGGAGGGTTAAGTATATAGTTGTCATTATATAACTATACTGTATAAAGAAAATTCTCTACATTTTAAAATTTCTTTAAATATAGGATAGTGAAGTTTTTATTAATGACAAAAAGACTGATAATTCAGAGGTTTTCTGGAATCCAACACCTGACATTAAGCAATGGAGATTAATAAGGCATACTGTAAAATTTGAAGAACAGGGAGATTTTGAATCAGAGAAGTAAGTATACCATTTTTCAGCTTGCCTCATGAAGTTCAAAGAGTATTTTTTTAATCTTTTAGTGATGTGTAGTGATGTGGTCACTTTTCTCTGTGTTCTGTCATATTTTAATTCAGCAAAATAGTCTATCATTTGTGGGATGTGGCAGTATTCTGTTTGGGTATATGTGAATGTCAAATAAATATAATACAAATTGTCTTGTTTTTCTGCAGCTCAAAACTAAAATGTCTTATTTTTTTTTTCTTTCCCTTCTTATCTTCTCCAGTACCTTTAAGAAATAACTTCTTTGTTTGCTTAAAATTATAGTACTAATTAGTGATTCTTAGTTTCCACCTGGCAACTGCTTTCAAGCCTGGTTTAGGCAAGTGGAATTCTGGGTGAAGGAAATGGTACAGAGTCCATTTTTGTTTCATTCTCTGAAACACAAGAATAATGTTCCTGAAGGAGCTGGCTTCTAAATGACTTACATTCGTTGGACAATAATTAAAGCCACAGTTTCTGCCCTTTAGTCATGAAATTCTTGCTAGATCACTTATATTTTTGAATCAAAAATATTGTATACACATTCCCAATTTTATTCTTCTCTCTTTGTGTTAGGAAAAGGGGACTTCCGTGTAAAAGGTGCTTTGCTAGGCACTTGATACACATTATGCAGCTTAGTCCTTACTGCATGTTCCCACATGTGTAACATTCTGTCTCACAGGGACTCAAGTCTGTGTGTACTTAGTCTTCTATACTCAAAACTAAAATTGCCAAAGACGGAAGAATATGTATACACTTAGTTTTTAAAATTGTGTTTTAGCCATAACCACATGATGTTCTCTGTTCTGAGCTAAGCTTTGCCAAGGCATATGATAATTTTTTAAATAATTTAGCATATTTTAAAGATGCAGAAGCGAAACTTAGGGTAACTAACTTTAAGTGCATCTGCTAAGAAGTGGCAGATCTAGGGTTCAGCACAAATCTGCATGTCCAAAGCCTTTTTTTTAAGTTTCAACATGCTGCCTTCCCAGATGGGTGGGATATCGATATTATACTTTTTTATTTAACAGATGAAAAACTAGTACATGAAATCATTTTACCTCAAGAGTCTTTTCTTTTAATTCAGTGGTTCTCAACACTGTCAGCACATTAAAATCATCTGAGGAAACGTTTTAAAAAACCAATACTTGGGTCTGACCCTAGAGATTCTGATTTTTAAAATTCTCTGGTATTTCATGGATCCAAGGTTGAGAAGCACTGCATTTCATTAATGGATCTTTGTGGGACCAGTAGATCTTAAACAGTATTTGTTAAAAGTATAGATTATTGAGCTCTACTTTCATCACATTTCTATTATCTTGGGTCAGCAACATTCACTATCATATGTTTAAGAACCCATATAATAACTTATCTTGCCACAAAAAAAATTAGTCTTCACTTATGAACAGGTGTTACTCTACTCAAAGAATAGGGTTTATATCTTGACTCATTGCTAAGCATGTGAACATAACTATTGGCAAAGCCAGAAATCCATGTCAGCATTATTTTCTCTCAAGGGGATTCAGCCTATTCTATATATATATATTTTTTCTGTTGCTTTTTTAAAATACTATTTTTGCATACATGTTAGACTCTGGCAGCGAGTAACTCGAGCCATAAATGCCAAAGACCAAACAGAAGCTACTCAAGAGAAGTATGTTTTGGAAGAAGCTCAAAGACAAACTGCCAGAGATCGGAAAACAAAAAATGAAGAGTGGACTTGCAAGTTATTTGAACTTGATCCACTCACAGGAGAATGGCATTACAAGTTTGCCGAGTAAGTGTATAAAAGAGTATTTCAAGCACTATATTAGCATAGTTTTTGCCTTTATTTCTGAATATTTATTGTTAGTTGAAGTAGTTTTTCTGTGAAACCATATTTTAAACTTGATGTTCCATTCATTATAAACTCAGTTCTGATAGTAGACTATAAAATAAACTGAGGATCAGAAGAGAGATGGTCAAATTTTAATATAAGAACTATGTACATAGTTAATGAAAATCTAATTTCAGAATAGAAAGTGTTGAAGTTCTTTCTTTAGTTATTAAGCAGGTGGTCTTTTTTTTTCAATTATGTAGTACTCGACCATGGGACCCACTTAACGATATGATACAGTTTGAAAAAGATGGTGTTATCCAGACCAAAGTGAAACATCGTACTCCAATGGTATGTAATAAAAAAGTAACTAGATGAAAAAAGTAACACATGAAGCAAACATTGACAGAATTAAAGGCAGAAATAGCCTTACAACAACAGATGGAGAATTTAGTGTGCTATTTTTAATAATGGGTAGAATATCTAGATAGATAATCAATAAGGAAACAGATTACTTGACTCACACTGTAAGCCAACTTGATGTAGCAGACACGTATGGAACAATTCACCCAGCAGAAACATTCTTCTCAGGTGTACATGGAACATTCTCCAGGATAGACCATAACATTCTCCAGGATAGAACATTCTCCAGGTTAGGTCATATAATGTCTCAATAAATTTTTTAAAAATTGGTATCATAGAGGGTATCTTTAATAATGGAATGAAGCTAGAAATCATTAACAGAAGGAAAACTGAGAAATTCACAAGTATGTGGAAATTAAATAGCACACTCTTAAAAACCAATGAGTCAAAGAAAAATACACCCAACAATTTCAAAATAAAAATTAAAATGAAAAAAAAAAGAAAAATACAAGGGAAATTAAAATATGCTTTGATGAATAAAATCAAAAACATACCAAAACTTATAAGATACAGTAGTACTCAAAGGGAATACATAGCTGTGAATGACATTAAAAAAGAACTCAGATCAATAACCTAACTTCATACCATTAGAAACCAAAAAAGAAGAGCAAATTAAACCCAAGCTAGCAGAAGGAAGAAAATAATGACAGTTAGAATGGAGATAGAACAGAGAGTAGAAAAACAATAGAATCAGTGAAACCAAAAGTTGGGTCTTTGGATGGTTGCTGTGACTCATGCTTGTAATTCCAGCACTTTAGGAGGCTGAGGCGGGAGGATAGCTTGAGCCCAGGAGTTCGAGACCAGCCTAGGCAACATAGCCAGACCTCTTCTCTACAAAAGAAATAAAAAAATTATCCAGGCGTGGTGATGTGCATCTGTAGTCCAGCTACTTGGGGGCTGAGCCTAAAGGATCACCTGAGCGCAGGAGGTCAAGGCTGTGATGAGTTGTGATTGTGCCACTGCACTTCAACCTGGATGGCAGTATGAGACCCAAACTTAAAAAACAAAAATAAAAAAGTTGGTTCTTTGATAAGATCAACAAAATTGATAAAGTATCAGCTAGACTAAGAAAGCAAAAAAGACATAAATGACTAGTCTCAGAAATGAAAGTGGGACTGTTACTACCAGCCTTATAGGAACAGAAAAGATGATAAGAGAATACTGTGCATAATTGCATGCCAACAAATTAGGTAACCTTGATGAAAAGGACAAATTCCTAGAAACACACAAATTATATAAGCTGACTCAAAAAGAATAGAAAATCTCAATAGTCCTGTAACAAGTAAAGAGATCAAATCAGTAATTTAAAAACTCAAGACAAAGAAAAATTTAGGACAGATGGTTTCACTGGTGAATTCTACCAAACATTTAAAGAACAAACACCAATTCTTCTTAAACTCTTTGAAAAAAAAAATAGAAGGGAACATTTACTAACTTAGTGTGTGAGACGAATGTTACCCTAATACCAAAGCCAGATAAAGTCATCACAAGAAAATTAAAAACCTGTACCCATAAATATAGATGCAAAAGTCCTTACAAAATTCAAGTAGCATATTTAAAAGATTATACACCATGACCAAGTGGGATTTATTCCAGGAATGCAAAGCTTAATATAAAATCAATGTAATATATATTAAGAAGGGAAAATCACATGTCATCTCAATCGATGTAGAAAAGGCATTTGACAAAATCCAGCTCTCTTTCATGATTAAAAAAAAAAAAACTTATAAAACTAGAAATACAAGGGAGCATCCTCAACATGATAAAGAGCATTTATAAAGAACCCACAGCTAATAGTCTACTCAGTGGTGAAAGACTGAAAGCCTCCCCATCAGTTCAGGAACAAGACAGACTTGTCCACTTTCACCACTCCGATTTAACATTGCACTGGAAGTTCCAGAACATTTGGAGAAGAAAAGGAAAGAAAAGGTATTCAAATTGGAAACAAAGAAGTAAAACTATCTCTATTAATAGATGGCATGATTCTATATAATAAAGTCCCAATGAATCTACAAAAAAGCTACCAGAGCTAGTGAATTTCAGCAAAATTAAGAGTTATAAGATCAACATATAGAAGTTAATTGTGTTTCTTTACACCTACAATGAACAATCCCCAAAGGAAATTAAGAAAGCAATTCAATTTACAATAGCATGTAAAAGAATGAAGTACCTAAAGAAATTAAAGGACACCTAATAAATGGAAAGACATCTTGTATTCTTATGTAGGAAAAACTTAATATTTTAAAAATGTCCATACTACCCAAAGCAATCTACAGATTACTGCAATCCCTGTCAATATTCCAATAGACTTTTTTGCAAAAATAGAAAGGTTGATCCTCAAATTCATATAAAGTTGCAAGGTACGCTGAATAGCCAAAACAATTTTGAAAAAGAAGGGAGTTAGAAGCCTCATACTTTCTGATTTCAGAACTTACAACGAAGCTAAAGTAATCAAAACAGTGTGGTACTTATAAAGGATAGACATGTAGACCAATAGAACTGAGGGACTAGAAATCAAGCCATAAATCTATGGTCAGCTGATTTTTGGCAAGGATGTCAACTCCACTTGATGGAAAAGCAATAATCTCTTCAACAAATGGTGCTGAGATAACTGGATTTCTTAGAATGAAGTTGAACCCTCTACCTCACACTATGTAAAAATTAACTCAAAATGGATCTGCAACCTAAAATAACCATAAAACTCTTGGAAGAAAACAGGGGTAAATCTTCATGACCTTGTATTTGGCAATGAATTTTTAGATCTGGCACTAAAAGCACAAGTAACAACAACAAATAAAGCGGACTTCATCAAAATCAAAAGCTTGTGCATCAAGGGAAAACTATCAAGAAAGTAAAGAGACAACCTACAAAATGAGAGAAAATATTTTCAAATTATTTATCTGATAAGGGTTAATAACCAGAATATATAAAGAACTTCTAACTTAAAGAGAACCCTATTTAAAAGTGCACAAAAAAACTTCATTAGGTGTTTCTCTAAAGAAGGTATACAGATGGCCAACAAGCACATGAAAAGCTGTTCATCACTATTAGTTATAAGGGAACTGCAAGTCAAAAGTGCAGTTAGGTATTACTTCACATCTACTAGAGTAGTAATAATCAAAAAAGTTTAAAATAACAAATGTTGGTGGAGATGTAAAGAAATTAGAGCCCTTGTACTTTGCCAGTGGGCTTGTAAAATCATGTAGCTACTGTGGAAAACACTGTGGCAATTCCTCAAAAGCTAAACATAGAATTACCATATAACCCAGCAATTCTACTTGGAAAGAACTGAAAAGAGGTACTCAAATAGATACTAGTACAGCAATGTTCATTGCAGCATTATTCATAATAGCCAAAGATGAAAACAATCCAAGTGTCTATCTACAGATGAATGGATAAAGAAAATGCGGTCTGCACATACAATAGAGTCTTTTTCAGCCAAAAAAAAATGAACAAGTTATGCTACATGCTACAACATAGATGAACATTGAAAATGTTATGCTGGCTGGGCGCCGTAGCTCACACCTATAATCCAGCACTTTGGGAGACTGAGGTGAGAGGATTGCCTGAGCCCACAGGTTCTAGACCAGCCTGGGCAACTTGGGGAGACCTCATCTCTAAAATATGTCAAAAAATTAGCTGGGCATAATAGCACACGCCTGTAGTTCTAGCTACTTGGAAGGCTGAGGTGGGAGGATCGTCTGACACCAGAAGGTTGAGGCTGCAGTGGCCATGAGCATGTCACTGCACTCCAGCTTGGGCGACAAAGTGAGACTGCAACTCAAAAAAAAGAAAGAAAATATAATAAGTAAGTAAGCCAAACACAAAAGGACTAATATTGTATCATTCTACTTATATAAAATATATAGGAAAGTTAATGGAGACAGAAAAGATTAGAGGTGACCAGGGACTAGAGGAAGGAGGAAATGCTTTAATTGTTAGACTTTTTCTTGAGGATGGTAAAAATGTCTTGAAATAGTGGTGATGTACAACACTGTGAATATAATTAATGTTACTGAATTGTACACTTAAATGATTAAAATGGCAAATTGTATTTTATATGTTATCATAATTTAAAAATTCAAGAACTTCTAAAATTGTGTGGTTTTTTTTTTTTAACAACTCTAACATGATAGAGACACTCAAGGCATCTGTATTTCCTTCCAGAGGTAGACTTTACTGATCACAATACATCTTTGTTTATTCTAGTTGTATACTGTTTTCCCTTGTCATTTTAAGTGAGCTTCTCACTATTTGTCAATCTCCAGTTTGAACCCACTCTAGGAATGTGGATTTGTATTCTAAATGTTATAAAATGTGTGTGTGTGTGTGTGTGTGTGTGTGTGTGTAAATACACGTGTAAATATATATATTTTTCATTTTAAACATTTTTTTTTATTTTAAAATTGTGGGGTACAGTTAAGGATCAGGTTTATAAATATGCATCGTTCAGGCACCCTTGTTGATAAGGGGTGTCTCCCCATCCCCAGACAGATATTGACTACCATTAGTCCTACCTCCTTTCCTCTCCCTACTCCCCCCATCGCTTCCCACATTGTCAGTCCTTTTCTTATAGTATTATGATAGATGTTCAAGGTCCACTATATGAGTGAGAACATGTGATACTCAGATCTTTGTTTCTGTGAGAGATCACTCAGTATTATAGACTCTAGTTCCATCCAGGTTGCTGTGAAATTCATGATTTTGTTCTTTTTAATGGCTGTATAGTATTCCATCATGTATATGTACCGTGATATATCTATCGTGGACTGGATTTCTTTAATCCAGTCCACTCTTGATGGACAGCATGGTTGGTTCCAGGTCCTTGCTATTGTGAACAATCCTGTGATAAATATACATGTGCAGGTATCTTTTTTATAGAGTGATTTGAGTTCTTCAGGATATATTCCCACTAGGGGGATTGCAGG